GATAAACATTAACAAGATCTTCATACTTTATTTGTTTAAGGATTAGCAAGTCCATAGATCAAAATTAAATCATCTACTATGCATGCTCTAGGAAATTATATTAAATATTCATTACCTGCATAATATAAGATCTTTTAAGATTTAATATCAAATATGATGAAGTCTGCACTCGAAATTATAATATAAGATCTATCTTTAGGAGAAGGAATTATGGAAGTATTCTCTGATATAGTGGATTCTAAACCAAAATTCTTTAGAAAATAATATAATATTTTCTTTAATGGAATTTAAGCAATCTTTAGAGAGCCTCAAATTGATATTGGTGTTAAAAGAATTGGAACTGAAACTCTTTTGAGTTTGGTTGAAAAGTTTCCAGGATTATTCAAATTTGAAAAAATTTATTTAATGTAATTGGTTGAAATGATATTCTTTCATATGATATAAATAAGTCCCACTATTAGTGATGAATGGATGAAACCTCCTGAAGGATTTAATGATAATGTAGAATAGGATGAAGATTGTGAAACAACAAATTTTGGAATGTCTAGTATAGATAGACTAATAGAATCATAAGGTAAAAAGGATATGTTACCAGTTTTAAATCCAATAGTAAGTGAATTATTAAGACATCAAGATTGGAGATATTAACATGCTGCTATTATGGCATTATCTTAAGTTGGTGAATACATAGATTAAGTTGCTGATATTAAACCAACTATAGATTTAATATTACCTATGCTTAATAATAGCAATCCTATGATACGATATGCTGTATGTCATGCTATAGGATAGATTTCTGATGATATGAAACCAAAATTTTAAGATTCCTATTTACATTCAATAGTTCCAGAATTCTTGAATCGTCTAACTATTGAAGATGTGCCTAGAGTAAGTTCTCATATTTTAGCTGCTCTAACAAATTTTGTTGAAGGAACTGAAAAAGGCATTGAAGCATATTTACCTAATTTAATTTAGATGTCTATCAAATTTTTAAATACAGGCATTTCTATTGAAAAAGAAAATGCTATTAGTGTAATTGCAGCTACAGCAGAGTCAAGTAAAAAACATTTCATTCCCTATGTTAATGAATTGCTTCCTCTTTTATTCTAAATCTTTACGAATCATTAAACTAAACAATACAGATAATTGAAAGGCTAAGTTATTGAAACAATCACTTTAATAGCTTCAGCAGTGGGAGAGTAAGTGTATCTACCCTATCTATAATAGACAGTTTAGATTTTAATACAAATATAGACAAATAATTTGGAAGCTATTGATCCATAGAAGTCTTATATACTTTCAGGATGGTAAAGATTAGCATTAATTTGTCCATAATAATTGGCTAAATATCTTGGAGATGTAGTACCTTCATTATTTTAATTAATCGAATTAGTTTTTAATATCAATTCAACAGATTCAAGTAATGAGGAAGAATTGCATACTTATGATAACGAAGAAGCCTAGGTTGCCATTCATACTTTATCTGTATTCATTTAAGAAATGAAACAATCTTTCTTTCCTTTTGTGGAGAGATGCATTAAATTAATTGTGCCATTGTCTTAATTTAATTCTGATTCAAACATTAGAAGTGCTGCTTGTAAATGCTTAGTAAATTTAGTTAAGAATGTTAAAGAAACAAACAATCCCTAATAATTGATAAATGGAGCTAAGTATTTTCTTGGAATCATATTGGAAGCAGCTTTTAAGGAATATGATCCAATTGTGATTATTGAATAGATTAATAGTATCAAGGAAATAATTGAATTAGTTTCTTAGCCATTTATGACCACAGAGGAAGTTACTGAATTATCAGATAAAGTATTTAAATTATTACTAGAATCTGATAGAAGAAAGGCTGATAATGAGAATTTGGCTAAGGATGAAGATGTAGATGAAGATGAGAAGAATGCTATTAAGGAAGAAACAGAAACTGAAGAAAATTTACATGTTAAGATTGCTGAATGTATTGGTGCTTTATTTAAAACTCATAAAGAATTTGTTCTTCCTCTTTATGAAATAATTTGTAATTAAATATTACCTAAAGTACTTGATTAATCAAAATCTCCTAAAATGCATTAATTTGGAATCTGTTTAATTGACTATATGATTGAGTATTTAGGATTCCCATATATTTAAAATAAATTCATGGATCTAGCTTAAGCTTTAAGTGTATATGCATGTGATAGAGTATGTTATGTAAGATAGGTATCTGTGTATGGAATAGGTGTAATGGCTATTAATACTCCTTAAGAATTGTATATGTAAGTATCATAATCTTTATTGAAATCTTTGGTTGAATCTTTGAAAATACAAATAAATTAAGATGATAATGAAAGATAATTTGGATTAGCAAGAGACAATTCAATTTCTGCTTTAGGTAAGATTATTAAGTCACATCCGAAATCACTTGGATAAGATTTAATTTAAGGTATAGAAACTTGGCTATATTTATTACCTTTATAATATGATAAACAATAGGCTTATATTCAACATAATTTATTAGCTGAATTCATAATTTAAGATGGAGATCTATTTGTTAATGGTAAATCTGAAAATGCATTACAAGTATGATGATATTATTTATAGATACTAAAAATAATTGCTAATTGTTATAAATCAAAGTGGTCTACAGCATAAATAGATTCTAAATTAATTAGTGCACTTAGGATATTAGAATAGTTAGATTCAGTTAAAGTACATCTATAAGAAGTATTTAAAAAATTAAGTTCTGAAGATCAAAAGAAATTATTAGAAATACCTAAATGATAAATTTACCTTTGTGTATTTGTTAATAATATTATTTATATTAAATGAATTCATTTTTTCCCTCCTTCATCTGGTAACTCAGCTTACCAATTAGTAAGATTGTCATTTATCAATTGTAAGATAGTGGTCACATCTTTATATTGATCTTCTTCCATATCATCCAATTCTTTAATTGCCTTTTATATTATTTTAATTAATACTTCATCTTTTACTGTTTTTGCCAATTCACATGCTTTAGCAACATCACTCATTATTTCATAACAAAAAACTGAATAATTTAGAGTAACTCCTAATCTTAATAAATTAGTTTTTGGAAACTTGTCCTTATCAATTAATTCCAATGCTGTCTAATATGCTTACTAAGCTTATTAAATTGCTTTCTCCTAAGCTTTTTATTATGAATATTCTGAAATGTATCGATTATAATCTCCTTTCATTTTGTGATAAAATACTCTAGCCTCAGTGTTAGCTGTCTTCTTCAATAGAGTGTGATCTATCAACTACAAAACCTCATTGCAATAATAATCTAATTCTTTCTCTACTCTTGCCTTGTAATATTAAAGTACTTCTTAATATTTCACAATCTATCACTTATCCACTCTACTAATACCTTCTATTTCTCCTTTATCTCGTAAGCAGTAATTGCTCTCCAAGCAGTTCTCCTTTATCCTACTGTATTCTTATATGCAATCGAAAGTAGATTTCTCTCTTCATTATTCAAATCTTTAGTAATCTCTGCTACCTTCCTCATGTTCTCAACCTACTTATTGAATTACTTATATTACCATATCCTCCCATCTTTCAGTTTATTCAGCCAACCTAGCCATGTATGTGTGTTCGTCTCTTTTATCTTACATAATAATTTATTTAGATATATTATTTTAATTTCTGTACTATGAAAATAATTTAATTACAAATCTCATATAAATAATCATATACTTTGAATAAGTAATTATATTTTTTACAATTCCTTATTTATATTTATTTAATAATATTATGATTTAGTTCAAAATTATGATTAAATTAGGTATAAATGATTAAACTCATTAAAATAATAAAATATTATAATGTATAGTATTTTTTTCCATAAATATATATACATATAAACTTACTAGTTTTATCTTATAAACAATAATCTAAATAATATCATATATTAAATCTTTCTACTTCATATAACCCAGTCATAATCTTCATCTTCCTAATAATTAAATACTTCATCTTCTTTCTAGCCATTATGAAATTCATCTAATTCATCTTCACATTAAAATTTTTCCTTTTTCTTTTCTTATTCTTCATTTAGTATAATCAAAACAATTCATCAACATAAAATTTAAGTTTATGTCATACTATATCATATATTTCTTTAAAACAATTTACACACTCTTATCAAATTATTTGACACTATAATCTACTTTCTTTTTCAATTTAACATAACTTATATTATTGAACTACACAACAAGAACTTTAAACAAATAGATTTATCTTTTTATAATCTTGTTTAGATTGTTGAATTCCATATATATTATATATATATTTTTATAATTTTATTTCTCATAATACTTTCTACAATAAATTCCAAATTTTATTAGATAATTGTACATCTGGATGATGGAGAGCCAACACAAATAATAAACACATGGTATCGAAACATGGTATGAATGAAAAGATCCACATTATCCATCCTTGAAAGGTCAAATAAGTTGAAAATATTATGAAATAAGGAAGACTTGTATAAATTTCACCTAATTAAGTCTTGATTATATTTTACCTGTTGTTTAATATTTATTTATTGCTTAAAAGGATGGGATCAAGGCTCCAACTAAGCCAGTTAAGACTCTTGGTGCAATTCCAATTAATGTACATAGGATTGAGAACAATAATGTTATAAAGGCTATGTGTGATAATTTGATATTTGGCTATATTTATAGAATATAGATAGAAATAAGTATACATTAGGTAAGAATTTCTTTAATGGTTCATAGTCATCTAAATCAGCAATTCTTAACTTAGCTATAATTGGTTCCACTTATTACATTAATAAAATATTTTATATTAATTTAATATTATATGCATCAATAATTTACTAGATTATTGATAGTGTTGGTAATTATATTATCAATGATTGAATTAACATATTTTTTTTAATTTAAGATATTGTTAATTAGTCTATGATGAGAGTACAATCATTAATATTGGCATTCAAAAGTTATTATTAAATTTACTTATAATATATAATGACTCAGAGCTCTGTTAGAAATTAAAATGAAACAATGTTCTTTATTTCCTTAATCAATTTGATTTTTGGGATAAAGAAGTTAGAAATGTTCACAATCATATCTAATTCAATTCTCTTAGGTTTGATCTTAAGTAAGTAAAGTTGATGCTTATATATGAAGTTTATTTGCTATACAAGTACAAGAGTCATAGAAAACAACTAATATTTGAACAAGTCATCATAGTATATTATTGCTGTTTCCAACTGGTTTTAAGAGGAGTACCTTCTATTTGGTTTAATATATTTTCGATATCTATGGACTAACATCTAGTTTAATTTGTAACTTTAATTATTGTATTTGCTTTCACATGTGCATAAGTTCAACCAATGGTAGAGATTAGTATACTTTAAACAATATTAGAATAATTGATTCTAATTATTATGTTTCTTTATAGAAAGTACAATTTCACCAATCTTAAGAAGCAAACTAAAAATAAAATACTCAAATAGATCATTAAAAATGTTAAATATTACACCTTTGATTAAAACTAAAATGAACTTAATGGAGAAAAATTAATATCATCTGAACAAATCTAAAATTCAAATGCAACATTATTTTCATCTCGTTCTGAAAATTAGAAATTACAATCCCAAATTAAAAAGGATATCAAAATAAAATGTTATACTAAATAATAAATAGAAATGGTCTAAGAATCTCAAATAATGACTTCTAAACCTTCTGTTTTTGATACTCTAAGTGGATTTCTGGAATCTTATTAGAAGGATAAACAATAAATGAAGAATAATGTAATTTTAGCATCTGAATTTGAAGAATTAACAGGACAAAAACAATAATATAGATTATATATAGAATAATTTAAATAAATTTAAAAAGTTTATACATTAGTAGCACTAGTTAGTTTAGAAGATAAAATACCATCAAAGCAAAATAAATATATAGACAAATTTAAGATAAGTTTATCCAAAATATTTACTCACAAATTGAAAACTCCACTTAATACAACTCTAGGATTTTTATAAGCTATTGTATAAGAAAATAATACAATAGATGAATAAGTAAAAACAAGATTTTTAAAGCCTGCTTTGATTAATTCAAAAATTTAATATTATTAAGTTTAAGATATTTTAGATTATGTAAATTCAGCAAAATTAGTTACATATAAAATGAGTAAGGTCAATTTACATAAGACTTTACAATTAATTTATGATATGATTGAATTATAATGTAGAGCAAAATAAATTCAAGTTATTTTTACAGTAAATTCTAAACCATTTGATGTGAATGATAGGTATTTTAATATAATTTATTATATGATAGACCTATATATTTAACAACTGATTAATTAAGATTAGAAAGAATTCTATTTAATTTATTAAATAAATCATATAGACATACATAAATTAAAGGCAAAATTTAATTAAATGTAGATGTATTGACTGAAAATAATTAAGTTTAATTTAAAATTAATGATAATGTTTAAGGATTTAAATAAGAATAATTTGAATAAATCAATAATTTTGCTAGATTATAAAATTAATGTATTCATGGATTTCGAAATTCAATTGTAAAAAGATCTACATTCAAATTTAGCCTTACATTATAAATTACAAATAAATTAATTTATTTTCTTAGTGATTTTCAGTGTTCCTTATAAATAAATCATGATTTAGAAGAAGGAGCAAGTTATTAATTTTTTATTAGTCTTGATTGTAAATAAGTAAATGTTCAGTAGTCATTTGAGATCAGTTAAAGAAATTTAAGTTTCTAAAGAAAAAGTTCTGGTTCACTTAAATAACATTTACCAAATCATATTTCATTATTTACAACTAATAAAAATTAATAATAGTATTAATATTATTTTTTATGTAGGGATAAAGTGTTAGAAGAATATGATATAGATGAAGAACCACTTGCAAATAAACCACTTTAATTAAGTACATAAATGGCTTAAACATCTCCTAAAAGTACTCTATTCAAAAACCATCCTGTCTAACAAAGTATCCTTCCTTTTCATAAATCTGTGTTTCAAAAGGAAATTAATGATAAATCACTAACTATTTCTATGGCTTTTGATCACTCTTTTAATGTGAAACGTGTTACAGATTCAATAGATATTAGACAAGACATGAATTAAACTATAATGTTAGTTGATGATGAACCATTTAATCATGATACTCTAAAATTAATGCTAAAAAGTTTAGGATTCAAAAATTTTATAAGTGCTTATCATGGTTAATAATGTATAGAATTAGTAAAAAAAAATAATAAATCTATAAAAATTATATTTATGGATCTAGATATGCCTATTATGGGAGGAATAAAAGTATGTATATATATATTACATTTAGGCTACCAAAATTCTTATTTAAAAGATGTCAGATGGAGAAATTGATTATATACCAATAGTTGCATGTACTGCACATGATGATAAAGATACATAATAGGAATGTCTTATGGCAGGCATGATATGTATCATTGCTAAACCTGTATTTATAAGGAGTTTATAAGAAACATTTTTGAGAATTAATGAAATCAAAGTTAAATCTTAAAATTTTATTTTTGGATCCAAAGCAATTTCGTCAAGTATTAAATGATAAAATTATGAATCTCTTAAATATTTTGTGTTTATATTTTTCATTAACCTAAAGGAAAAGCTTGTGATTATATATATTTTTATCATAAAAATAGAAGTGATTATAATTTAATTAAAAGGATAAAAGGTTATGATTATAATTTTTATTAGCCAAAGAAATAATGTAATTTCATTTATTTTTTATTATCCAATATGATTTAATAAACCATTAAATTCCACCTAATGTTAGGTTTCCTTATTATTCCTGACATAGTTAAAGGCATACTAGTGAGCTAAATCTCTATTTTGATATGTTCAACATTATTATTTACCCTATAAATTAGTAAGAATTCTTTTATTGATTATTAGTATAACTTATATTGATTGTTAAATGTAAAAAATATGAGGATTCAACTTGTTTCATTTTATTCAGCTATAATGTCATTCAGATTCTACATTATGGTACTCAATCCATCTGGCTAACATTTTGTCTTTTACAAATTTATAAAACCAATAAGTTGTAATTACAAAAATATAGTAAAGCTGTATTAGTAACACTAAGCATAATATTATTTTCATTTTCTTATCAAGGTAAAATAGTTTATTCAGAATTTTAATCAATTATTTAATGTGTTGCATTTCTACTGTATGAATTAAAATAAGTGGATGATAATGCTTCCATTATTGAGATGGCTGAAAATGAAATTCTACAAGAGTTAAAGAAACAAATGATTATAAAAATATTTGATTCAAATTATAGGGACATTACTCCAAAGAACAAAATATAATTAGAAATTAATTCTTATGTATAAATAACTTAAAATACATAAATGGATGAACATCTTCAATTTTATATAAAATGTTATTAGGATTAAGATTTTACAAGCAGTCCTGATTAAAATTCAAATAAATCACAATAACTTGTATTTCAAGATTGCTATTCTTTATTGGAATTCATAAATGGTTAAGAATTAATTTAAAGCAATGAATATAATCATTATATAGCATCTTCAGTAGATACTTAAAAGAATATCAAATAATAATTTGTAGTTATGCATAAATCTATAAATTAAGGAAATTTATAAATATTATCATTTTTGAAAATAGATAACTTCATGATAAAATAAACAAAAAAAAAGTTTAATTAATTTAAAAAATCATTTACTGATCTTTTTGCTCATAAATTAAAAACTCCTTTAAATGCTACATTGGGATTTCTTTCTTCAGCCTATAATAGTATTGATGTGGATAATTAAATAAAAGTGAATTTTATTAAACCAGCTTATATAAATTCAAAATTGCAATATTTTTAAATTTCAGATTTATTGGAATTCTTAAGTACTCAGACAGATAAGATTATATTTTAATCTAGTAAGATATATATGAAATAATTTTTGTAATAATTGTCAGAATTGATTGAATCTTAATGTATAAATAAAAGAATCTTATTTTAAGTCTTTGTTGATTAGATTCCATTGTAAAAAATTGAAAAGTAATAATTATGATATATTGATTAGTTTCTATATTATATCAGATGTTATTAAATTGGAAAGAGTATTATATAATATTTTGAATTTTTCTTATAGACATACACCTTCTGGAGGTTAAATAAATTTGAATATCAATTTTAATCAAGAACGTACAGAAATCTATTTTAGTATTGATGGGAGTGGAGATGGATTTAGTGATGAGGATATTGAAAATATTAATTTATGGATTAAATAATAATGTGATTTTCAATTCAAAAAATAACACTTAGTAATTAAAAAAGAATTGAAGATGTCATTGAAGATTACAAATAATTTAATCAATATTTTAAGTTCTTAAGAATAACATTTAGAAGTTGCTTAATCTGAAATAGGTGTAGAATTTAGATTTAAACTTAACATCAAAGAAAGTAAGACAGTAGAAAGTTAATAAGATATATAATCTGTTGGAGTTATGCTTAGATAAAGAAGTTTAAAAAATATGAAGAGCTCTTAAAATAATTGTGGAACCAATAAATCTATATTCTCATCTAAAGATACTAATATATAGTTGAATACATTAAATATGATTGATGAACCTTAAGCCAATTAACCATTAACAAATAAGATTCATAATAACAAATGGTAAAGGAAAAACAAAAACTAAAAGTCTTTATGTTCTTCATTGATAAATAAAGGTTTGATTGATACAGATAAATTAATTTTGATTGTGGATGATGAACCATTCAACCATGACACTTTGATTTTATTGATGAAATCTATGGGATATAAAAATTTTCTTAAAGCATTTAATGGATAATAAGCTGTTGAAATGGCTTAAAAAAATTAATAGAATATTTTATTGATTCTTATGGATTTAGATATGCCAATTATGGGAGGAATTGAAGTATTTATATTATCTATTTATTAGGCTACAAAAATATTAGTATAAATGATGATTGATTTAGAAATGACTTATGTACCAATAATAGGTTGTACAGCTCATGATGATAGGGAAACATTAGATTTATGTATTGAGGTTGGAATGCTCCATGTAGTATAGAAACCAGTCTTTGTAAGAACTTTACGAGAAGCATTTTAACATATTATTCACAATGAAGATTTTAAAAAGAAATCATAATATTTCTTAAATTCCTAGTTGTAAATTTGATTCCATATATTAATAAACTATAATTTATTTAAATGCAAAAATCTCAATTTTCTATTAAATAAATAAGATGCAAAATTCCTTGTCTTACAAATTAGGATTAAAAAATGATAACAACAAATTATTTATTGCTAGAAAAACTCTTGTTTAAAGATAGGAATTGTCTAAGAAATATAATGATGAATCCTAAGTTGTTTTAGTTTTTGAACCACATAGATTTATGACAAAAAATTGGGCTGGTGCTGGTCCTTAGTTTCCAATGTAATGCTATTTCATAGATAAAAATAGATTTGCGGTTGTTCTAAGTAAAGATGATCCAGTTGAAAACATTTCCACAATTTTGAAGAAGAAATTACAGTCTATTTTTCATAAGGATTTTTAAAAATACACATATTTTTTACTTTGCAATAATTACTTATTATCACCAGGTATTAATATATTAGATTATTTTTAGAATAGACAATTGGCATGATATATGAAAAGTATAAGAATGAAGAAGATGGAATTTTATATGTAAAATATTGTGAACAACAAACTTTTGGAACTTGTAGATAGTTTATTAATAATAAAAAATTAAGTATATTAATTAATCACTTCTGTTTAACATAGATTGGACTATCAGCTGGTTGTTTGATTCCAACAATAAAATTTTTTAATTTGATAGATTCTTGAAGTTCTTCCTGAATGTCAGATCCTGCTGAAGAAGATTCTTCAAAACTGGCTTTTCTGCTGGAATTGATTTCTTTTGGAGGAGAACGAAAACTAGTTCTTTACATTTAAATAAATTTTAATCTAATCGCAGGTTTTGGTTGAAAATATTATAATCCCAAACGAGTTCCAGTTTCCTCTTGTGAGAATAGTGATAACAAATATTCATAATTGGGATCTTCATCAAATTTTAACCCTTTTACATATTCCATAAAACTTGTTAATTGGATGGGTAAACCAAAAAATTTATCTATTTTTAGAGCTTTTTTCATTTTTTTGATTTTTTAGTATCTAATTTCTTTATCTTGATCATTAATAGAATACCAAGGCAAATTACCTTAATGTAAATATATTAACATATATCCTAAAGATTCTAAATCATCTCTTCTAGATTATTCTATACCTTTTAAAGCATTAATGGATGCATATCGAGCAGTTCCTATCATACCTTTATTTTCTTTGTAATGAATATGATGACCATCAATAATGTATTTTTTTGAAAGTCCAAAATCAATTAGATTTATTTTACCATCTTGCATAACAAAATTCTCTGGTTTTATATCACGATGAATTACTCCTAATGAATGGAGTTCTTTCAAAAGTTTGATGATCTCCAATCCAATAGGTAAGATTTTATGGAAATTTCCTTGCTTTTGGCGATATTGTTCTAAATTATCTCCCATTAGATTCATAACAAAGTATGTATTATGTTAATCAGATCCAGATGCAAACAACTATGTAAATCCTTCATGTCTTTATTATACAAATACCTTTTTTTCCTTTAAGGATTTATAGGATTTGTATTTCTCTTTACAATAATTTTTTTTCCTTCCTCATAGAATTTTTGACAAGCTTACAAGCAAATATTTAAGCACTAGTAATGTGTTTGACCTTCCAAATGTAACCAAAAGCACTATTATCTTTATGATTAATAATACCCTTCACCTAACTTATCGAGAAATTGATAGGAGGAAGAAGCAGGCTACTTAATTGACCTTTTCATAATGAATGAAATTTTATTATATAATCAATTACATAAATATATGCAATTTTGATAAAAGATGATTTGAAATTGATCTGATAAAACTCTATCAGAATATAAAATAAGAGTGAAAAACCCATATAAAATTTGCTTATAATTTTAGTGAAATTAAAGAATAAATTAAGGACAACAATTAATCATTCCTGAGGTTTTGTTGTACATTCATTGATATAACAATTGGGTAGGAATGGGATATTATTTGATGTTTGATTTGTCGCTGTTGAATTCTATAAATAATTCAACAAGCTACCCAGAGAACTCACAATATACTTTTTATATATATATATATATATTAATTATCATTTTTATTTTACTCCTCTTTATTTACTACGTAAAGAATATAATTCCTCTAATTATTAAAAGAAATTATCAGAATAGTTCTTAATAACTCCAGCCAAATCTAAGACAAATTAAGCCAACATTACTTAATTTTAATATACAATCCTACTCTCTTATGCTTATATCTTTGACAAAACAAATATCATAGTTTAACTTACATGTCTATGACATTCATCAACATTAGCACCCATTTAAAATATCTCTTCAGGATTATCATCTTCATTAAAAGAATTCACTTCCACATTGACCTGACTTACTTAAACATTTTTAACACTCATTGTCATATATCTTGGACTAATGATTGGTTTCTATAAATTCATTCTGGGAGTAGCAGAATCAGGAGGAGCATAACGTTCATTTTTTATTTGATATAATACTATTGTACTCCTTACATCTATTTTGGTAATATCAAGTTCAAATTATTTAGCCATTTTATTCATGCTGGTATGAAATTCTCTTATATGTGATTTAACTTCAGTATTCTTAATCTCTTTCATGAATTTCAAATTCTCACATATTCTCATTTAACCTTAATCAAACAATAAATTATCATGTGTCCAAGGTCCTGCTCCAATTTTAGTAAATACAATTTATTTATCTTCAATACTTATCATATACCATTTTCCATCCATTTAATGTAATAATTTAAAAAATGAACAATCTGGTAATAATTAATAAGTAAAATAATTTTCTATTAAATATAAAATTTAAAAGAAATATTTAATATTAGGTTTTGGAAATTTCAATATACCCATTAAAGAGAAAAGTATCTTACTCTCAACTTTAAATTTACTTTAAAATTTAAGTTCTTTAATTAATTCAAATTTTTAACCATATTCAGTTTTAAAATATTAATCTTCTTATTATTTAATATACATTTCACTAGTATCTCTTAAAACAGCATTTTAAATTAGTAAATCATGATTAGAAATATTTACATGTTTCCTTTTAAACATTTCATCTTTCTTAATCTCATTTCTAATATGTACTACATATTCTGTAGTAACATTATAAATATTATGAGATTCTTTTATGAATTTGATTTCCAAAAACTCTTAATAATCAATAAAGTAATCACAATACAATTTCTAAATCTCTAATAATTCATCTTCAACTATTTAAGCTAAATCTCCTTAAGGTTTTAATTTCCTACTTTATTAATTTGGATTGATTCCTACTCTTAATACTTTACTGTATATTTGTGTTTCAATTTGAAAATCCAATTCAACAGGTATATCCAATTTATCATCTTAATGTACTCTAAGACCTACATTCCTAGGTCTAAATTCCAATATATCTGGATTATCATCATTAAGAATAGCAGTTTTCTTTTGTAACTGAATAGCATTACTTAATTAAGTTCCATTTCGAATATCATATTCAGTTCCCAAACTGCTACCTAGCAAAGCTTCATCTTAAAAATTAAGTTAAAAGGCCACTCTCTCTTCTGGTTTGAATTATTCCATTTCTTACTCAAATAATGTCTTAGATACTACAGTAAATACTTCCCATACTAAACCTCCAATAAGTGCTAATAAAAATATTGACAGAAAAACAAATGAACCAATAAATATCATTGGAATCACTAAATTTTTAGTGTCAAATGAAAGTTCAAAAACTAATTGTCCCCATGAAGATGCTGTAAATACTTATAACATCATTAAATAAGATCCACCCATTGAATTAAAATCTGCATATTTACATTAACCCCATAAAAATCTAAATTCATTTGGATCACATGAATTATTTGAAAAAGGATTCTAATCATCTGTTTATATTCCTCCATAAATATAAATCCCTATACAAGAATATGTAAAAAAAACAATCTATACAGGCAGAATTAATCTGAGAATAAGAGGTACACAAATAATGATCTTGTATAATAAGTTTTTCACATGAGCAAATATTTCTAATCCTCTTAATAAATATCCAACTAATTTTATTGATCTAAAAGCTCTAAAAAGTCTAAAAACCTTTTAGATTTTTGCAATTCTCAAAATCCTATTCGCTTTGATAGATTATACAATATTTCCAGTTACAAAACTGAATAAAATATAATCAAACAATATCTATAAAAATATCAATGAAATATCAAAAACATTCCTACAGATTATATAAAACATTAATACCAACCATCTACAAAAAAATCATAAATTCCTAAGGCTATTATTTTCATTAGACATTCAAAAATGAATATTCCTAAAAACACTGTATCAACAGTATCAAATATGGCAAGTACACTTAAATCTTCTATAAAAAATGCAGATATAATCAATCCACAATTTATTATTGTAACTAAAAACATAATTAGACCAAAAAACTTATCAATTATTATGTAATAATTACATTAGATTCAATAAATTTCTTTAATCCATGTTTATTAAGGAAATTTCTTAGAGATTCCCAACATTTAAGTGGTTTAGATCTAGGTAAAGAAATTTTCTTGCTATTCTATAATACATAGAGTAACTGATTGAATTCATCGAATTAAATCTTATCACTATTTGATAATTATTAATTACTTGAAATCTTTGTCTATTTCTGAGAAGAGGACTTTTACTTCATCATCTGATAATTAATCATGATAAAAGGTTTTTAAGAATTTTTTAAATTAATTTTCAGTCAAGAAACCTGCATCATTTGAATCCAATGAGATAAAACTTGCCATCATAGCAGATTTTTATTTTATGATATCTTATATTGCAATTTACATTCTATGTTTACGAAATCCTTCATAGACAACAGCTAAAGGAATTGGCTAAAATAGAAACAAAAAGAGTATGATATATATTACAAAGTAGAGAGCATAGAAAGTACCTTAGAAAATAGGAGGAATCATAATATCAGGATAGAAATCAAGTGTAGCAGCCATAAATAACATACTAAATAATTTGAAGAAGTCTCCATAATCTTATGTTTCTAAATCAACAGTGTCCAATTATCCAATTAAATTTATTCCAATAAAAGCAAATGTGGATATAATTATTACATAAAGTAAAAATAATAAAAGTAAATCTTTACTTGCTTTGACTATTCCTTTAAGATTTCGTCTCAAATCTTTAGAATAAAATATCATTAATGCTGGTCTAATTAATCTACTGAATCGGATTTGATTTTAATCAATCTTCCAATTTATGAAATCTGTAACACAAACTAAATAGAACAACATCTTTATCATTCTTTTTGTGTTAAATTGGAATCCTCCATCATTTTTTTTAGTTGCCAGCAAAATTAAAGTTATTACGAAGTCAATAGTAAGAAATATTAATATGAACAATTCAATATTGCCAATTTCAGGTGCTTCATAGAAGTCAGATTCAGGATAAGGTTTTTCAAAGAAAGTGATAATTTGATAGAAGATTGTTAATGTTAATAGATATCCACTCCAAATTCTACTATTTTCAATGATCCAAAGATATTTTAAAATTACTTTATCTGCAAGATCAATATCATTACGAATAGTTCTCAAATAGTAAGCATCATAAATATGTCTTTCTGCTTTAAGTTATTTATCATCAGAAGGCATATGTTTCACAATTTTTTAGATTTGTGCAACAAGCATGTCATTCTTTTCTTATAGTCTTGTGTCTAATTTAGTTAGACTAATAGCATTTTGTTATTTGAAGATTGCTGATCTCCTTGGATTTGGAAGTCTAGGTGGAAAATTATCACACAACTAAGGAGATTGAATGTCATCTTATTTCATTATTTGTTTTATAATAATGTCTTTCAATAATCAAGTATTTCTTCACAAATCACTTCATCATCCTCCATATCATAACAACATATTTATAAAATCATGAATGCTGTTAATATCAATACAAATAGTAATGCAACAGTCAACTCATAACATTGTTCTTTCACCATTAAAATGAATGAACCAAAAAAGAAAAATCTAAATTAATTAAATATATTTACGCCATTGCAATCATTACTTCAGAATGTTTCACTTTTTTATGAAAAAGACTTGAATGAGGTTATTGTTTTTATGATTGCAAACAAAAAACGACTAAAAATATTAATCTCACAGCTGCTGCAATTAAAAATGCAACTCCACAAAAGTAAGTCAATGGCAAAGTCATAGTGCATTAATAATAATATGGATTTGACTTGCTAGTTCGAATAATCAATTTACCCTTCTATGTAGGAATTTGTTTACAAGAGTACATATCCACATAGCATACACAAAAAGGCAATGCAACAACTATAAGCTGATTATGTTGATGAGTTATCTTCATGAATTTCACTAGAATAATAAATTTCATCATTATAAAGCATTTTATTAATAATACTATATTTTTTTATATTAAATATTATTAATCTATTTATATATATGAGTATAATTATATTTTATATAGTAAAAATTACTATCTAATAATACTAATTTATATATAATATGATTTTTTTATTGAAATTAGTTTATAAATTACTTTTTTATTTATGAATATTAATTATTATTTCTATAACAAATCTACTATATTGAAATTAATTCACATTCATTATTGCTAATCATATTGAAATATATTTATTAGATTTAAAAGAGGAATGTGAATTAATATATTTGAGTGAGTTTTTAACATCACTTATAATTTATAAAGCTTTATTATTAAATAAATCTATCTTAATTTAATATCTTTTATAAATGGAGTAAGATTAGAAAGTTGAAGATTTTGTGATTAGGAAATCAGAGTTTTTGGGAAAAGGACAATATGGTGTTGTTTATGGATGCTATTCAGAGAAATTAAAAGATCAAAAATTATGTGCTAAGGTATTCATTTATTTAAATAGTATATAGGTCTTACAAGCATAAATTGAGAAAGGTTTGATTGATAGAGAAATCAAAATCTTAGAATAACTTAATAAAGTTGACAATCCTAATCTAGTGAAAATTTATAGAGTGATAAAAGAAGAACGATAAATATATATTATTATGGAAAGATGTACAGGTGGAGATTTAAAATAATTGATGGATCAATACTAATTATCCAAAAAATAATTCACTTTAGAACAAATTCAAGAGATAGCTAGATAAATAATATTGGGATATAAATCTTTATTTGACATCAATGTTATACATAGAGATATTAAACCAGCCAATATTCTAATTGAAAATGGAGGTAAAGGTTAGATTATTGTCAAAGTAAATCATTTATATTTATTTAGTTAACTGACTTTGGAATGGGAAGAATGCTAGATGATATAACTAAAAAATAAGTATTAACAAAAGTAGGTACTCCAGCATATGCAGCACCTTAATTATATTTAGAAGATTAATATTCTTCTAAATGTGATGTTTATTCTGTAATTTAAAAATATCTATTATTAGTTGGGAGTAATTCTCTATCAATTAGCCTTTAATAATAAATTACCATTTTCTGCTAAAACAATACCAGAATTAACTTAATTCCTTAAAGCTCTTTAATCTAAACCTTTCCAATGTCCAGAATTAACACAAGAAGGACCTTAATAAATGAAAAATGCAATCCAAAATTTAATCAATAAAATGATGTCATATAGTGAAGAAGCAAGACCAGGATGGGATGGTTTATTAAAGAGTGAATTATGTAATTATATTATTAATATATGTTTAGTTGTAAATCCTACTAAACCAACCAATTTTGAAAATTAAGGAGAAATGAAATTGTTAGACTCTATATTTTTATATTAATAATAGTAAGGTTAATAGTAATACTTCAATGAAGCTAAATTTAGAGCTGTATGTAAATTTGCTAATCAAAATAAAATTACTAAAACAGATCGTATAAATCATTTAGTTTCTATATTTTTGGCAAAAGCAGAATTATCATTTAATCTTTCTTAATCACTTTAAGAATAATTGTATTCATTATTTATTATTATATAGATTAACACAATTTCCATTTTTCAATGTTTATCATTTTGAGTTGCTCTAAACTTGTATCATAGGTTATCGTTATAAAATATTAATGAATGCTTTTGGTTTCTGTTTTAATTCTTTGGATGTGATTTGTGAAGAAATGAGAAAAATGTATGATAATTAAGCCTTAAAATAAACCTTATAAGAATATTAGAATGATCATTCTGAATGGACTGAATAAACCAAAGAAAATATTAGTGAATTTTTAAATTAATCAAATAAGGCTTTTATCCATGCTGAGAATTAAATCATTAAACTTATGAAAACTAATACTTATCCACACAATATCTAAAACTTTTAAAAGTTAATGTCGATTATTGATAATACAGAATTTAAAATTTATGGAAGATGGTTTTAATTCTTTTGGAAATAAGACTTAAGAAAACTTTTAGTTTATGATAAAAGTAAATAATATGATATTGGATATCTCAAGTAATCAATATTAAATTAAAAATAGAATGTTGGTTTTGATTGAAAAGTTTTTGAATATTGATACAGAATTTCCTTTTGAAAAGTATAGTGAATAAGATCCATAGCAAATTGTGCTTAATGAAAATTTATCAAAATAACAATTGGAAGCCCTTGTTCAATCAAGAAAAAATGTTTGAGTAATAATAATAAAAAATAATATTTTAATTCACATTTAATATCCTATGTCCAAAAATAAATCAGAAAATCAAATAAAATTATTAGATATATAAACTACCAATTTCAATGCTGAACTATTTCTTCAATATTTACTTTATAGAGGTTAACTAACATTTAATTTATCTCAATAACTTGATTCTGCTATATACAATAAATTAATAGATGATAAAAATAATTAATATAACCTTTAAATACTAAAGATTTGTGTAATACAATCCAATTATTATTTTCTATTGTAAGGTACTAATTTTTTAAGTGAAAAATATCAATATGCAGGAATGGCTAATCAATTAAAAAAAATCTTTAAAGATGAAAATGAATATAAATAAGAAATTACTACATTTTCTAAAGTTTAAACCAAGACTTCCCAAAAATTAAGGTAGGATATTGATAATTTATTTGAATAATGCTAAAAGTAAAAAAATGTAAAAATTTATATTATTATAATATTAGGCTATTCCTATTGAGTTCTCTTAAATTGCTAATTATATTAAATAATCTAATTAACATGATCTTAAATTTGAAAAATTTTAACAATAATTGAATTCAGAAAATTAAATCAATTATGATATATATTCTTATTTCTTCAAATTATACTACTAAAAAGAATGGTTTACATCAAATTAGTAATAACAAATAATTAAGTAAGAATATTTATTAATATAGATTATTATGTTTTATAGAATATTTCTTAAAATTTGATAATATATATCCTATTCAATATTATGCAGATTAAATGTTAATATTCAAGAATATATAAGACAATTAACCGATTGAATATTATTTAAAGATGATGGAATAAATCTGAATTAGAATATAATACAATTATAATTAGTATTTATTAAATTAATATACTATTCTGAATTTTAAGCTAAAATTTATTTGTAAACATATTATTCAAAGATCAAATATATCTTTTTGTGGTAGTTTTCTATCAGAAATTCTACAAAATGGACAATACTTCTTTTTTATTCATTTCTGTTTTCTCTAACATTTCTTTGGTAAAATTTTATATTTATTAATATATTATTATTATCTGGTTTCAAATAAATTATTTTATTGTTATTTGTATAATTATATTAAAAACATAATTTATAGCATTTTTAATATTGGTAAGTTCTAATTTAATATCATTTTTAAATAGAAATTATACATTTATATCTAAAATAGAATTAATTATTCCATTTAATGCAAATCTTAATTAAAATAATATAATAATAATCTAATTACTGGAATATCAATTGATTTTAAAGATAATAAAAATTCTAAATAACAAATGATATAAGAATTTGTATATTATAATACAATATAGCATTATGATTTAAAATTCAAAATTACATTAATGATAATTTATCATTGAAAATTATCCAATAATTCTTAAGCCAATTTCTCATTCACATCCAATTTCCAAAAATTACTTTGATTATATTCCTATTAAACTTAATCATCATCTTCAGGTTAATCATCTTCATTTTATTAGTGCAATTCTTATTAAATAGGTTCCTCTTCTGTATTATCATCCTATTAATCTTATTAATCTTATTCAAATTCATTCAAAACTTCTGTATTTCTCTAGACTTCTTCTCCAGTTTCATTACACCCAACATGTTTATCATTCTTTTAAAAATTATTGTTAAATTTCTAATAGTTGTATTATTAATTTCTATACTCTTAAAATGTTCAAAATATTGTCAGTTTCTTGTTCATCAAGTACATCTGGTTCTTAACTTGGTCTTGGATTAGCATTACATAAAAAGGGTTTCTCTTTAGAATTCACATTATTTAATATATTTTCTGTAAATTACTACCATAAATCATCTAAAATAAATATATTAATATATATTTACTCATGCGAAGTAATTTTTAAATTTTATTGTTTTGTTTGCTTTTATCTTCAAGATAATTAGAGATTGAAGTTAAGAATCCAATGAAACCTTTTTTTGAATTTTCAATATTGTGATTTTAAACAATATAATTTAAAAGATTATTATTTTCGAAAATCTATTGAAAGAATTAAAAATACTTTACATCAAAAGTAAAATCATCTTAATTAAGATCTATAATAGCTCTAAGTATTTTATCACAACAAGCATGGATTTAATTGTTTGATTCATACTTAATAATAATTTCTTATAATGCTTCAATAAGTTTATAGTTTATTAGAATCTTGATTATTTTGTAATCGTTAGTTCTTTGTTAAATATATTAATAATTAATTACTAAACAAGAACTTGAATAAGTTTGAGTAAATGCATTCTTGCTAATCCAAAAGGTTAAATGGATGATCTATTAGAATTAATGAAATTGCTTGTATGATAATCTTAATTCAATAGATTTGGAGGTAATTCAGATAAAATCTATTCAAAAATTGAATAATCCTTTTCTAAATTATGAACAACTTCATCATCATCTTCTTTTTTCGTTTCTTTTGATTACATTTCTACTAAATTTATTAATAATTGATATGGTCCTATACGCTATGTTTACAAAGCAATTTTCAAAAATAATTCAGGTTTTTTTATAATATCAATAAATGGTATTATTTCTCCATTATTATAATATAGAGAACTCATACTCTTTGTTGTAATCTCAATTAATATATCACAAACATTATCAACTATTTCTGTATTATAAGATTTATTTTATAATAATTTAATTATTCTTTCTAATAATTATTTCCTTTCTTCAAAGAATTTCTCTTCATAATTTTCTTATGATGTATCTAAAATTATTAATTTTTCAATTATTTCTGCTATATGTTTAATATCTATATGTTTTATTAAGTTTGAAAGAATTGTTTTGTTATTTACAATTGTTGCCCAAACCTAAATATTTAAATAAATCATACATCAAAACCTCTTTTCTTAATTATTGCTATGAATGCTTTTGCAAAATATCCTGCTGAAGTAACATTCAATATATCATTATCCAAAAAAGATAAGAGTTAGTTGTATAATCCTTAGCGTATTTATTAATTTTCATTTTAAATTTCTTCTTCAGGACATTCAAATAAGTAATCAATTAATTTCTAATTTTAACTACCTAATATCTCACTTGTTAGAAAAGGGTATCTAATACTTAAATTAAGAAATTACTAAATTTGAGTTTTCTTATCAATAAGTTCATCTTCAAATTATATAATGTAATCAATCATTTTTTAATACATTTCTGGATGCTTAATGACACTATTATTATGCTTAATTTAATACTGATCAGCAAACTTAGTAGCTCCTAAACCTTTTATTTCTTGTAATATTCCCTCAGTCGATAAAATTGTTTCTAAATCGCAATCAGGATTTGCTAACAAACTATCTAATTATTATTGCTAAGTGAAAAAACGAGCAAAGCTAACTATATACAATTTCTTACTTGAAAAACATTAAATTTAAATTTTTAATATTGTTATAAGATTACAAATTAGTAATTATTATTTTCGAGATAATCAACATATCTTATTTATTTGAAATAAAAATCTAAACATTTTGAAGAATAAATTGGAGAAATTATAATAAGTTAACTATAAAAATAAATTTGAATATTAGAATGATCATTTTATTTTATAAAAATATATTTAATATATTTTATTCAATAATAAGAGTCCATAATTATATATAATTCTGTATAAGTATTATTTAATCTAACTATAATATATTACTTTTTAATAAAAGAAGTTGTTAAATTGAATTAAAAAATTTAGTAATCCAAAAATTGTGAATTTTAAATCTCTTTTCTATTATTTCTATTATCAAATATAAATATATCTACAAATCATTATAACATCTGATATTAAATGCATTATTTGGATAATAGTAATAATACACTTAATTTTACTCTTCTATTTCCATCCAATTTAACGAATGTTTTACGTCTTTCATTGGCTGATAAATTTGATATTAATTCAGTTTATAACTTTTACATTTTTTCCATTAGCAATATAAATTACAATTTATTATCTGCAATTCTTATATTAATAATAAATGTATTTACTTATTTTGATTGAACATCTCAATAATAAAGTTACTTTTATAAAATCTTGTAGCTTAGGGTGTATTTGGTTGTTTATATAATTTAAATTCTTTAGTTTTTTATTCTTTAATAAATTAAGGTAGCTTATTTTATAAACTATTATTTTTTTTATGTGTTCTAAAACTTAACTAAGTGCGTTTTGAATTAAACTAAAATGATTATTTAAATTCACATTGACTTCCTAATAAACTGGATTAAAATAATTCAGTATTTTCAGGAGTGCTTCCTAAAAGATTTTTTAATTTTAATTTTGAAGCAGGTAGTTAATTTTCATAAATGCTACAAGTATTCGATATGGAGTTTTTACTTAAGAAAACATGACTATTTTTAGGAGAATTGAAGAGACTTGAAGCTTCACTTTTTCTTTTTATATGATAGGATTCATTTGAAATCAATCTACCCATATTATCTCTTTCATTAATAAATGGAACAAAAGTTTATTTTTTTTCAATTAATTGATTAAGTGGATGTTCTTAATTCTTGATTGAATCCATAATCAAGGCCTTCATAAATTTATCTGTCTTATGAATAGCAGGAAGTTCTTTATCCTTATAAAAAACACAGTAATCCTACTCACTATTATGCTTTTTCATATTAAGTAATATATTTTTTAATAATATAATAATAAACTACTAGATAAAAGTGAATAAAGAGAAATAATATTATAGACTTCATTTCAAATAATTTATGTGTAATTTAAGAGAATATTCAATAAAAAGAATAATAAATAAAATATCTTAAATTTTTATAATTATTCAACTTATAATTTTTGTTTATTCTAAAATATCTGTGGGACGGGTTTTCAAGGATTCTTATATTGAAAACTAAGTTTCTAAAATATTCATTTTGTCTAAATATTTTAATAATCTATGATTTCTCTATATATATATATTTACTTCTAATTATTTGGTTCCTTTTTATTTTCAGAAAAGGATTCTATAAAGGATTAAAAAAAAAATGAGAATTTTTGAGCAAAGAATAAGTAATTTGTATCATCATCTTATTCAAGAATCTTTTTTAAATCCTTTACTTCAGGTAAGTCTCTTTTGAAACCGGAATTAAAGAATTTACATTCATCTTCCTAGAAATAAGTATAATAATATTACTCTGAATAAAAGAATGGATTAATTGAGTGTTTTTTGTATGTATTCTTTCAAAGCTTTAGTATTTTCATCATTAATTTAATAGTTCTCTTTTAATTCTTATGAAGAGATAATTTCTTATAATTCAGGAATCAATTGATAATATTAATTAAGTAGTAATCCTAAAATATTTTAAATTAATTTATATCTATATCCTGAGACAGATAAAGAGAGTAATATCAATTCACCTTATTTCAAAGGAAAAACAGTTTAACCAGACCTAAGAATAGTTATATAAAATAAATTACTTTTACTCTTATAAATATTTATGACATTTATTGGCCAAATCACTTTTAGTAGTCAAAATACGAATAATTTATAGAATTTTGTTATTTGATATATCATCTACTCTGTAAAACTTTTAGTATTGTATAGAAGAGGGTTGAGATTGGAGTGTAGACTTAGTGATTTGAATTGGTATTTATTAATTATTAGATTCAGATAATATCTAATTCAAAGCATCAGATTTAAATACATCTAACCATGAACATCTTTCATTTTCATCATAATAAAGCATCTTTTAAATTAATTCTCTAATATTTTAAGGTACAAACCCTGTAGGACATTATTCATCACACTATTTTGGTGTTGCTTTGAGACTTCTTAATTTTTATAATAGTTCTGGTTATGTGTTAGCTTATATTGGTAATTATCCATAAATTAATTGATAAAATATGACACCTAATGAATAAACATCAGCTTTTGAAGAGAATTTTGATTCTAAAAATAATTAAGGAGCTGCATAAGCAGGTGTTCCAACTTTAGTAAAGTTTTGAGCATAATTCATATCTTCAATTACTCTTCCCATACCTAAATCAGCAATTTTGAAGACACCATTTGAAATCAGAATATTGGCTGGTTTTATATCTCTATGAATAATTCTACATTTATAGAGTGTCTGATATCCATTGGCTATTTGTGCAACAATCTTAATTGCTTCATCTATAGTGAATGGTTAGATTTTCTTTTTCCTTTTATCCATAAGTTATTTGAGATCTCCTTCTTAACAAAGTTCCATAATTATATAAACACTGCCATGTTATTTTTCATTGAATACTTCAAATACTTAGATTAAGTTTTTGTTTTCTCTTTAGATAGGCATAAGAACTTATATAATTTCAATTTCTCTTTTCAAGATTAATTAATCAACATCCTCAACTTTCAAAACCTTAGCACATAGTTACCTATTGGGATTCTAATGATCTGTACACCCATAAACAGCTCCATATTGTCCTTTACCATAGAATTTTTTCCTATCTATTTGATAATGTGAGATTTCTATAGGTTCTGAATTTTTAAATATTCCTTTTTTTGGTGTTTATTCTATTTAATTCATTTATATTATTATTATAATTAATTAATGAAAAAAAAAAAATAAATTAATCAGACATTTATAAATACAATTCATACAATAAGTCTTAATCATTATTTCTTAAAAATAAACTACTTAAAATATCAATTCAGAAATTTACATTTTAAGTATAAAAAATAATAATATATTTTTATATATAATTTAAGATGTATTACTAAATTGCACAACTATCTTATTCTGGTCTTCTTTTTATGATTCAAGTTCTCTTTCTTTATATCATTAGAAGAAGAAGTCGCAATTCAAGCCAGGTGTTCTCGGAGTATCAATATTTAATAGAGTAGACCACAACAATTAAGTCAATTTGCCCCAGTACCTAAACGAAAGGAATCCTCAAGAAAATCTTCAGTCATTATAAGCTAAACTATTAGAAAAAGTGTTTAATAATATAGAAATAGTACTATAAAAGTGGAAGGAGTTGAGGATAACCAATCGATGGGCATGAATTCAAATCATTACATCAAGGCTATAATGAAGGAATAGAAATTGTAAAGGAAGAAATCTATAAAGATTGAATCACCAAATAGTACAATCTTGTAAGTTCAATTTCCATAAAATAAATCTCAAACTGAAAACCCTGAAAGTCAAAGAGATCCATTCTAAGAATTAATTGGAGATTAGAAACCTTAGTTAGAGAAATTAGATATAATCATATATGTGACCTATTATGTCGAACGTATTGGATTTGAATAAGGATTAATCTTATTACTTTGGTATTTAGATGTAAACTTTTACATCTTTATTCCAATTTCCTTATTTGCAGGAGTTGTGATGAGAATACAAGAAAAATTTGGATATAGATTGATTTAAAAGATACTTTTAATTTTAATCCATGGACTTCTGGTACTTGAGACATATCTTATCATAGCAAATGATTATGAAACATTTTGTTATTTAATTGTATTGGGAATAGAAACTGTGTTTAGTATAATATCCTACATTCTACTGAAAAAATGTAAATGATTAAATATTAATTCACATCAATATTATCTATTGAGAATCAATTGTATTTTGTAAAAATATGATGATTTAATTTATCAATTACGTATAAAATTATATAAAATGAACAAATTATAGGAATTGAATGCTTTTGATAATAGTAAGAAATTTAAAATCAAAACTGATCGTAGTACTTAAATAACATCACCTAAAAATAAGGAAATAGATGCATCAGAAGATTTAGTTAAGAAATTGACTGATAATTATAAGATGTAATAAAAAGAGATAGATAAATTATTAATGACTATTGATAACAAAGAAGATTAAATTAGAAAATGTTAAGACTTGATCAAATTGTAATAAAAAGAAATTGATCGTTTGACACATATTAATGAATATTTAATGCAAGCTAATTAAACTAAATTAAGTATATTAAGAGATGAAAGATAATTCAATCAAGGAAGTAAGTCAAACTTAAAAATTAAGAATCTTAAATCATTATTACCAATTGAAAAAAAGAATAATAAAATAACAGAAGAAGGCACTACTCAATCTATTAAACTTTTTAGAAGACAAACGTTTCGAAATCCAACTTTAGTCAGATTTCATTAAGATGATGGAGAACTCTTTAAAAATGATAGGAATACATCTGGATCATCTAATTTTTATGATATGTTATAATAAGAGGATTGTTTTAGAACCAATGCTATTTTGAATATCTAATTATGTAATTGAAAATTATAAGACTTTAGCTGATGAAGATGCAACTACTTAATATAATAGAGATGGAACAGTCTCATTAATGAAAGTGCTTTTAGAATCTGAAGAAAACTTTTGTGACATAATCTAATCAATCTCAGCATAAAAATTATCATTTTTATATGATAAATTTAAAAGAATAATGTCAGATCATTAATAATTATTTATCTTAGTCTTAAGACTCAAAAAAATAGTTACAGGTGCTTTACAAATGAATTCATCAGTTCTATTAGATGATGCATTGTAAACAATTATTGATAAATGTATTGATTGTTTAGAATGTGATAGAGCATCTTGTTTTATAGTTGATTAAGCAAAAAAGGAACTTTGGACTAGAGTTGCTAAAGGCACATAAACAACCATAAGACTATAAATTGGATAAGGATTAGCAGGATTTGTAGCTTAAAATAGAATAATTTTGAATATTGAAGATGCATATAGAGATTAGAGATTCAATACTTAATAAGATGTCAAAAATAATTATAAAACTAAGACATTATTAATATCTCCAATTTTAGATGGAGATAAATGTATGGGAGTATTATAATGTGTAAATAAATAAAATGGATATTTTACTAAGGATGATGAAGCACTATTATCGATTATGGGAGAATTCAGTAAAAGTGTTTTAAAAAATGCAATGAATCATGATGCTTAAATGCTAATCTAAAATAAATTAAGACACATTATTAAAACAGGAATTATGCTTTAAAGTAAATAAGATAATCTTATCGATTTAATTCTGTCTGCAGAGGATAGATTAAGATCATTGATGAATGTAGATTAGGCCAAAGTTGTTTATTATAATTAGGTTCTTTCTCATATCAATAGAGATGGCAAACTTTGTTAAACTGAAACTTTATTGGGCTTAATGGGAACATGTATTAAAGATCAGCAATTGGTAGCTGTTAGCAATTGTTATACAAGTCCCATTTTTAATCCAAATATTGATATTGAAACAAATATGCCTATTATTTGTATGCCTCTAAAATCACAAAATCATCAAATTATTGGGGCCATTTAAGTAATTAATGTCAAGGGTATTGGTAACATTTCTTCAAACAGCGAGGCCAAGATACATTCTATCGATTTAGATATGCTGGAACTGTTTTGTTAGTAATGTGCATAAAGTTTGTAATATTGCAAACAATCAATCTTATGATGATATTAATTAAAATATTAAATATAAAATGGGCAATTCATAATAAAAAAATGATGATAAATTAATCTCAACAGTTTGGCTTGGTGTTAATGTAATGATTATAATTATATTGTAGAATGATTGGAAAGCATAAATGAAAGATAGATTGTCACGCTTAGAAGAGTAATGGGTGATAAGTATGATTAAATGTTTGGCTAAACATTCTCCTCAAGAACAAAATAGATTTAGACATAAGATTAAATAAGTTTGTATATATTTAATAAATAACAAAATAAGTGAATGAAAGTTTGAAGTAAGAAGAAATGAAAAAAATATAGTAACAATCAGAAGAGTTTTTGTAAATATAAATAATATATTTTAGAAAGAACAATGAGTTTCTCAGAGAAGATACATGCATTTAAACATCATCAAGTGAACAAACATTATCAACTAGTTACAATTCTTGTATTTTTTTCATTTTCATAAAATTTAGTTTCTAAAATCAATGAAAATCAATCTATATCTTCATATAAATAAGATTTATAGGACTATGAAACTCAAAATCTTTAAGCTCAAAAGTTTTATTTAGTGTTTACAATAATAAATGAGATGATCAAATCAAATAAACATCCTTTTTTCTATATGATTACATAATTTTAGGTATGGGCAAAAGTTCATTTAAATGAGCTTCAATAATCTAATTAAAATATGTCTTAATTGAAAGCTCAAGTTGCCAAATTTGGTGTAACAACAAATTTATTCTTAAATTATCTCATTCATGCTTTGAATGAATATTTGGGAGATATTTCAAATGATTAATTTGATGTTGCTTAAAATAAGTATCTAAAGGATAAAGCAAATTATTTTAATTTTTTTCTATCAATAGTAAGATATTGATTCATTCTATATAGACTATGAATGAAACCCTAACAATCCAATTAATGGAAGTCTTAAAAATATTACATAAAAATAGTATAATAAATTTAATGGGAAAAATGACACATTTATCATTAAAACCTGATTTCTTTGAAATTCCAAAGAAATATTTGGCATAGAATAAGCCTTTTTAAGAATAAATTGAATATCTATAAGGAATTTAATACTCAAAAAATCCCGCTGAAAAATACTATGTTTTAGCAAAAGGATATTAATTATTAAGAGAATAACTTACCAAGAGTGCTTCAAATTTTGTTTAGTTACAAGCCACAAATTATATACTTGTCCATTCACAAATTCAAAATTTGCATGCTCATTTGCATTTACTCGAACTTTTTTATCCCAGCTCACCTTTATTACTAAAGTATAATTCGTCATTGTAATTTTTATAAAATATTATAATATGATGACAATTTTAAATTAATATAATTAATCATAATAAATAAAATAGCATAATTCAATAAGTATCACTTAGAAAAATATATGATTTAATTTCTTCTCTTAATAAAGATCTTAAAATAATAGACTTATTCTTTTATGAAGTCTAATGTTTTTATTTGTATAAATAAAGAAATGAAAAAAGTAACAAAAATTTGAAGAAGCTTAAATCCTAAGTCTCATGTATTCAATCCAAAATTATACAACAAAGAAGATAAGATATTGAAGAGATAATAATAGAAAATGGATATGTGTTGTTTAAGAATATAGAAACAAATAGAATAGAAGTATAGAGGATTAAAGAAAGATAGTTTACATTATTAGGATGAGTGGAGATGAATTTCAAATAATTTTGATGATATAATGATAGGATTTTAATAAAAATAAGAAAAAGCTTTAAGTTATTTAAATAATGCAAATACTTCAATAAATTATAAATTGGAAATGGTTTAAAGTGATTCTTTGTAGTTATATTAGAAATAATTTTAGATTTACAATTACTCAAAATTCATCCATGTTTTTTTTAAAAAGAAATGAATATCTTATTATCATATTTATACACATTGATTAACAATTTAATAAATTGGGAATGTATAATATTAATAATATATTGATTAAATGGATTACGATGGAGAAGCCAGTCAGTTTCCAGATGTCTCAAGATTTAGTTTCAATCCAAATGGTGTCCTGCATCCTAAACCTGTTTATTCATAATGTTCATTTACAGGAGTAAAGAAGAAGAACTTTTCATTACATGGTTCTAAGAATAAAGGATTAAGAAATCTGAGTTATAAGGTGAAAAAAATAATTGAATCAGAGGCACGGACTACTTATAGGTTCGTAGCCGATAAATTAGTATCTGAGGACAGTGAACAGAAGAAGGAAGAATAAAATGTGAAGCGTCGAGTCTATGATGCACTTAATGTTTTGATTGCAGCTGGAGTGATTATAAAAAAGAAGAAGTTTTTGTTTGCAACACAAGAGACTTTTAAGAGTGGGAAGTACTTAATAATCTTAATAGGGTGCCATAATAAAGAAAAATGGCAAAAGATAAAAGAAGATCAATAATTGCTATAAAAGAAGCATTAAGTATTGAATCATAAGAAATAATACTTGATTGATTTAGTAAAAAAAATGCTATGTGTTCGTCATCTGATAACAAAAAATAATAATAACAAAAGTCTTCCTAATAGTTAGAATGCTGTCGAAACGTATATTTAGTAAAATTGATGTAGATTCTTAAAAGATGAAAAAGTTGAAGCCTCATAAGTACTTTGTAGTTAATAGAGTATGTAAAGTGGAAACTTACTTAATTCCTATGTTTAACCCTAAATAGTATTTTAATTGCCTCTTTTTGCATTCTGGAGTAAACCAGAGGATGTAATAAAACAATTAGTTAAGTAATATAGTTACGCATTGTGATAAAATCACAAAAGGAAGTGTCTTTGACCTCTAAAAAGAGTTGCTCTTTTTTAAAAGAAACAGAATTGATTCAGAATGTGCATTAATAAGTATTATTATCCAAAGTCTTTGATAATAAATCTTTTATTAGTTTCTATTAGAACTTAACCAAAAATTGATTTATATATAAAAATAATTTTAAAATTTATCATATTTATAACTAGATGAAGAGATTTGATTTATTTTATGAGTTTTCTAATCAATAATTAGGATAAGGAGTATTTGGTTAAGTTTATTTAGCTAAAAAGAAAACTACCTAAGAATAAGTGGCAGTCAAAGTAACAAAATT